CTAAGGAAAGTTTAACATACCTATATTTAGTGAATGCTCATAAAGTGCTTTAACTACATTCACTTTTAATCCCCGCAAATTGTAGTTATGCACATTAAAAATTTGAGGAAAAGTAAATTTGTAACAGAATGTATAATTCTGTTTACAAGAAGTTTAACAAGAAGCTGGGGGATGGGGAGAATGGGAAGTTATTGGTTAATACTCAAGTTTGGGATGATAAAAAATTCTGAATATGGATGGTGATGGTTGTGCAACACTGAATGCACTTAATGAAACTGAATGGTGCACTTAATGAAACTGAATGATACACTTGAAATCGTTAAAACTGTAAATTTTTATTATGCATGTGTTACCCCAATTTTTAAAACACTTATGGGAAATCAAGTATGTGCTCAGCCTTCCCCTCTTCTCCCCCAACAGGTGCTAGTTGGAGCCAAAACGTCTTATTTCAGGTGACTGCCATCAGAATGAGTGGGTTTCACGGGGACACAAGATCATGTTTTAAAGAAAATTTTAAAACCAAGGATCCGAGACAGAGCCCCAAGCAAGACTCTAAAAGATGACGGAGTTTGGAAGTGGGTGGCCAGAAGAATGATGGAAAATGTTCCCCTAGAACACGGAAGAGAATGTTTCCTCTCTTTTTTTCTTACTGTTTGTTTCTAAAGGTGAACACGGAGCAGAAGACTCCATCGCTCCACTAATATTCACCGCACACCTGAGGGAGGAAGTGAGAGGCAAAGAGCGTAACTCGAGACACAGCGTGGGGCACGCGCCTGAGACTGGAGGAGTAGAGGAGGCGGCCGGGGCCGTCCTCGAGGCCCCGTACTGAACCTACCCGCCTTCGCTACCGTTTATCCAGGCCGTACCCGTGCCCAAGTCCTGCGCGCTAACTCCTTTCCCCCTCCCCCCTCCCCACTTTACCGATCGGGTTACTAAGACCCCAGGCAAGTAGGAGGTGTTGAGGGAAAAATGTAAACCCCCGCGCACAAGGTCACTCGACAGGTGAGCGGGACGCAGACTTGGGGGTTCGCTGGCTTTAAGGCCCGCGCCATCATCCCCTCCGCGCAGAGGCCAGGCCTGAGGCCTCGGGGTTGGACCTGGCTTAGAGGAATCGGGCGAGTGGAGGCCCTAGGACAAAAGAGTAGTCTTTGAGGCGCTCCCGCTGCCGCATAACTGCACTCCTCACGAGCTTGGCTGCCCACACCCACCGCAGGCCCCTCGGGGAAGGCCTGGACGGAGGCCGCGCCAGGGAGAAGCAGCCAACAGACATAACGGAGCTGCTGCCGGCGCCACAAAATGCCGGTCCGGAACAAGAAGACGTAAAATACTCACCCTTTAGGCCCCGGAGCCCCGTTGCCGCTCGGCGCGCCGGGCGCACCGCTTTCTCCCTCCATTTTGGGCTCTGTCGCCGCCACCTCCGCCGCTGCTTCAACCCCTGCCGCCATTTTCTCCGCGTCTGGGCTTTGTGTGAGCGAGCAAGCTGCACGACGCTGCGCCTGCGCGATCACGTGACCCGGCGCGACCAGTAACGCTTGCGCGCGCCGCGGCCGGCTCCGGCTCGGTCCCCTCGCATCCTGTGCCACGCCCCTGATTCTGGCCAAGGCGTCCCAGTGCAGGCGCAGACTGGTAGCTGTTATTCATTCATTCCTGCAATAAATTCGATTTACAGACACCAACTGGGTCATCCACCCGCACTTGAGGTCTAATAAAGGGAGGCATCACCCCACGCCCCACCCAGACCTAGTCACTTTCAGCTTTCTCTAATCAGCTGGAGCAGAGGGGCAAAGAAAGTTTTGTTTACCAAAATAAAAAGGCGTTGTCTAGGGCTAGGCTGTAAGACTGGTGCGCAAAATGCTGTCTCTAAGTATCATCCTGCACCAAGAATAACCAGGCTCTGTTCGGTCGTCTGCCCACCACGCTGGGAGGTCCTGGGTGCAAAGCTCATAGCCTAAGACTTTTTCACTGAACCCATTAACCAACAGCCAAACGCATAGCTGGGGATTCAGTATGTGTTCATGGATGTTTCTTAAGTGAATGAACAAGCAAGAAGCCACTTATGATGGGAGAAATGAGTTGCAGGCCAAGAGATCCCATTAACTTTAACTGGGGCTTCTTCCTGCTGAACCCTGGGTCCCTCTGCCCTGAGGGCTTGTCCCTGTCCCCAAACAGGTTTTCAAGGCTGTTACAGGATGTCTTGGGGCAGAGCCCAGGGAAAGGGCCAGAGCCAATGGTAGTATTCAGAGGTTCAGGTCTCCTTCTCCAGGAGCTCCCCACCTCTCCAGTTTCTTTGGAACTTTGAAATTGCATTGAATCTTGCAGAAGTTCCTATCTAACCAAACTCTCTCTAGGCTCACAAAGGTCAAGAGGTTTTAGTGTTTTTCTTTTTTTCCCACCGCTCTCAAAGAATGACTGTGTTCCATTAGGCTGGAGGAGAATATTTCACCTACCACATCCTTTCAGCTGTTTAGTTAGGCCTGTTGATTCTGACCCAGGTTGAAAACTCCAGTCCCAGAGAATTAATTCATCTGGTAGCCCAGCCGAACAGGAGGCTATGCCCCACCCTCCTTTTCCAGTTCCATTCCTACATACTTCCTAAACTCACCTGTCTCATGCACGGAATTATCTTCTCCCACCCATTTGCAAGTCCCTCCTCCCACGCCCCCTCCTGAAATCTCTACTAAAAACCACTGTGCACACCAACCCTTCTCCCTCCCATGGCTCTGCTGGAATCTACCTCAGTTTACCTTCCTCCCCCTTAGATTTCTCCTACACTGGAGGAGGCCCTGGAACAGAAGTCTTCCAAACCTCTGAATTTCCTTGCCCGGCAGTGCTCAGAGATGGTGGAAAAGAGCACAGCAATCTGTCAGTAGAATCAGGGAGAAGAATCCAAATGCAAAGGATCAGACACAACAAAAGCTACCTCTCACCTCTTTAATCCTTTCTTCTTCAGTGGGTATGCCAGATTAGCAACACACCAGGCACTGGCTAAGGAGACAAACTGTCTTCCAGGCTGGGGTCTCCTATAGGCTGGTGACTTGACCTAACACTGCCTAGATTCCTGGTTTTTTTGCCATCTTCTTTCACACATTTCTTTCATTGACACACTTTCTTTTCCAAAGCATATGTTTTAAAATTGTGCTTCATGGGGGTTGGGAGATTGGGTGCAAGAAGGGAAGGGAAGGGAAGGGAAGGGAAGGGAAGGGAAGGGAAGGGAAGGGAAAGAGAGAGAGGGAGAGAGAGGGAGGGAGAAAGAAAGAAAAAGAAAGAAAGACAGAAAGAAAAAGAAAAGAAAGAAAAGAAAGAAAGAAAGAAAAGAGAGAAAAGAAAAGGAAAGAAAAGAAAAGGAAAGGAAAAAAAAGAAAAGAAAAGAAAAAAGAAAAGAAAAGAAAAGAAAAGAAAAGAAACCCAGAGAACAGTATAGTATTTACCAGAGAGAGACGGGTGTTGGGGGAGGTGGAAGACGGTATAAAGGGGGATAAAGGTGATGGAAGGTGAATTGACTTTGTGTGAACATACAACACAATATACAGATTATGTATTGTAGAATTGTATACCTGAAACCTATATAATGTCACTCCAATAAATTCAATTAAAAAGCTGTGTTTTACATCACAGCCTATGTTGTAAATTTGCTATAAAGAGCTTACTGTAAAAATAAATAAGAGGATGATGCTATTAAAGTATAAATTTAGTCATGCATGCTGCCAAAGTCTCTGAGCCTAAGGCTTGCTCTCTCTTTGCTGGGGTTAGGGGTCATTAAAGACAGCTTAGCACCAACCTACAACTTTCTCCTAGACACAGTTGAAAGCATTAGAAGAGGTTTGCGAAGGAAACAGTTTTCTCTCTTCATGGTGACATATCCTGGGGTCTCTTTGCACCATCCTCAGGGCACCACACTCCAAAAATGGCCTGGAGAGGTGGGTACTAGAGGGTGAGCAGTTGCAGGGGTGAGAGTTTAACCCTGTGCTTCTGCAGACCACCAGAGGCTTTCAAAGCCTTGCTTATCTAATTGCCCCTCCCAGCCTTCTGCCCCTCAGTCACTTTGCCCCAGCAACATCATCTGCTGTGCTACTCCTCCTATAGGCGACACAGTTTCCAGTTTCCAGGCCTTTGCTCTTTGCTATTCCCTCCACTCTATGGCCAGGCTGGCCTCCCCTTGCCTTTCTAGTATGGGTAAAAAGGGTTTTTCTTCCTCCTGGGTAAGGCACAGAACCAGACAGGGATTCATGGAAAAAACAATAGAACTGTGTCCATCAGGAATGAATGACTTTGAGTGAATGACCCATTGCTCTGAGCCCCACTTTGCTCACCTACCAGTGGATTTAATCAGACAACCCCAGCACCTACTCTTCAGAGCTGCTCTGAGTATTAAATGTGGCCTAATACAGAGAGCCCTCAAATGTAAAAGGCTCAGAAAGTGCTCAGGAAGTGACTGCTATTATTAGCATGACCTTCTCCTGCTTCTTCCCTGAGTCTTCCTGGAAGGGGAAGCACAAAGCTCAGCCCTGGGGCAATGCAGACCCATGATCAATTTCAACTCTGCTTCTTAGAACTGTGTGACCTTAGACAGAGGCTTCCCTGCCCTGGGCCTCAGTCTTTGCATCTGTAAAGAGGAGGTAACATCCATTTCTTCCTGCCAGGAATGCTAGTGAGAGTTGGAGGAAGTCTGTGAAGGTTCTGAATGGAGTCTCCTCCAGGGTGACCCTCGATAACTCTGAACATTAGTTATTAATGAGTGTAAAGGGCTCAGCATGGCATCTGGCCCACAGTAGATGTAAAGTGGAAACTGTTCTTACGTGTATTTATTTTAAATCATTATTATATAACTCTGCTACCTGCTTCTCACTTGAAAACTCAGACTTGGCTTCTTCTGCTGTGTTTTGCAATAGACCCCTCAAACCAGCCCAGTGCATGTTTTAACCTCCGTGTAGTCCCTGACTCCCCTTGGTCCACATCCCTCACTTTGAGTCTCCAGTTCTGAAATATAATTGACAAATCTATTTTATCCAGTAAAGGTTCCTTTATTCATTTGAGTTGGGGTTTTGAAACTTGGTGCAACTTTATAAAGTCAAGGGTGCCAGGAAAGTGAGCCTGCCAGGTGCAGAGAAGTACAAGAAGCTTGCGGAATCTCCCACCTATGGGCACCTTCAACTAGCCTATGGTCACGGCTGTTGGCCCTCAAGGGGCCAAGTGGACCTCAGAATGAGATCAGGGTGCCTGCTCTGTGTGAAGCTCAGGACCACTTCCACCTGTCCTCCTCATATACAACAGTGTGCAAAACAATCTGAAAATATCTTCACACAGGATCACAGAACCGGCTCCACTTGGTGTCTCCTGGTCTAAGAAGCGTTCTGGCCATGCAGGAAGGGTTGGGCAGTTTCCATCCTACCAAACTCCAGGGCATCATCAGCTGCCTCTGGCCCTGCCAGCCCAACCTTCACACAGGCGTCTCTTCCGCCACCTTCTTCAGGAATCCAGCAGCCAGTAGGGAGTGCTGGGTAGCCTCAGAGCCGTCTGTGTCCCGGATCTTCAGGTGAACTTTCTGGTTGGTCCTTCTCCACTCAGAGTACAGCTGGCAATGATAGCGGAAGGAGACCTGTGGGCAGGGCAGGGATGGGTGGGAAGGCCAGCCAGCAGACATCCACCCCAAGGGAAGAAAACAGGACCCCTGAAGCAGTGGCCTTGGCCCATGCCAGGGCCAGGCACAGGCTTCCCGAAGCAGAGACAGTCTTTTTCATACAGACTGTGCACACAACCCCATTCACTCTCCTGGGGAAAGTCCCCACTAGCATTCCAGGGCCCTACAAAGCGGGGACAATCTTTCAGAGGGTGAGAGTGAAGTGGTACAGCTTCTTGGAAGGGATTAAATGTCAATGGGTCATGGAACTACAAAAACTTGGAAGCCACCAAAATGTCCTTCAGTAGGTAAATAAGTAAACTTTGGGACATCAGATGATGAAATATTATTCAGCACTAAAAAGAAATGAGCTATCCAGCTGTGAAAAGACATGCAGGAATATTAAATGCATGTTACTAAGTGAAAGAAGCCAATTTGAAAAGGCTACAACCTGCATAATTCCAACTCTGACATTCTGGAAAAGGTAAAACTATGGAGAGAGTAAAAAAAATCAGTGGTTGTCAGGAGTTGAGGGTGGGGAAGGAGGAATGAATAGGTGCGACGCGGAGGATTTTTAGGGCAGTAAAACTACTCAGTATGATACTGTAATGGTGGATACATTTGTCCAAACCTATAGAATGAACAACACCAAGATGAACCCTAATGTGATCTATGGATTTTGGGTGATAACGATGTATCAATGGAGATTCATTAATTGTAAGAAATGTACCCGCTGGTGCCATGTTGATACTGGGGCAGCAGGGCGGGGCCTATGTGTGTGTAAGAATAAGAATATATTAGAACTCTAATAAATAGTCTATAGAAATTGTTTTTAAGTAAATGTCAATAGTTCATACTCTTTGACCAAGAAAATTCCAAGAAACATTTGCACGGGTGGTGCCCAAAGCACTATTCATGACAGCATGAAAAAAATGGAAGAAAAACAAACATTGGAAAGCACCTCATATCCTATCAAGAGGGATTAGTTAAATCAATATTAAACACCCATAGAATGAATGACAGCTGTCTGGCTGCCTTTTTCTTTTTAAAGAACACTAGCAAAGAGGAAATAAGCAGACTGCAAAGCAGTACCTATGTTATCCTATTTGTATTTTAAAAATACACACATACACACACACACTGTTAGATGCAATGAAAAATAATTTTTGAGGAGAGAATGCTCCAACAGACAACAGTGGTTATATCAGTGGGGTGAGACTTTGGGGGGCCCTTTTCTCTCCGAGCAAGGGTTCTAAGGCCTGCCAGAGGCCTGGAACAACTCCTCCACCTCAGTCTCCCTCTCTCTCTTTCAGTTGCTTTTTCTCTCATCTCTTGATCTTCCTCTCTCTTGGTCTCTCTCATTCTCCTGCTCTTTCTCTCTGCCTTTTGGTCTAAGTCTCTCTGTGCCTCCATCCCCTCCTCCCCACTGCTTCCCTCCTCCCCTCCCTGTTCCCCTCTCCCCCAGCCCAGTCTGGGTGGGCTCGTGGATGGCAGGGCCTACACTCAGCACTGATGATCTGGCACCCTGGTCTCCATGGAGCAGAAGGCTCACTTCCAGCTCAGGCTTCCCTAAACCATGGTTAGGCTCAGAATCTGGAGTTCCACCCAGGGCCACATGGAGAGACATAGAAGGATTCCCCCTCAAGCCACTGACCAAACCCCTGGCCTGGCTGCCCCGAGCTGGAGACCCCTAGACACCTGCCCTCCGGCTGACAGCCACTCACCAGCGTCCAGAGGACATAGATGGTGAAGAGGGCGATGGTGAGGGCAATGAGCCCCACGGCCTCAAGCCGGCTGTGGAGCCGGAGGTGGTCCTGGGCCCCACGCAGGCACAGCCAGCCCGAGATGGTGGCCAGAGGTGTGATGAACAGGAAACACACCATGTCACAGCACAGTGTCCGCTTCTCTGTCCGAGGCCCCGGGTCCTTCAGCCACTGCAGGGGGTAAGGAAAGGGGGGAGCCACTGAGAGGGACTACACACCATCCTCCAGCTAGCCCCAACCTAGGGATGGGGTGCGTGACCTCTAAACTCTGTGCCTCATGACTACTGGGCCCTGCAGGCCCAGCCTCCTGCCTGACACCAAACCCCCTCCTCCCTCCTTACAAATATTTAGTAAGCCTATGCTGAGCCAGGCCCTGCTGGGCATCTGTGCCCCACTTTACAGAAGAGGCAACTGAGAGGCACAGAGGAGCTAACTCATCTGTGCCAACTCGCACAGCTAATTTCCCACAAAGCTGGATCAGAAGCCAGGAAGTCTTGCCCCACGGCCTGTGTGCCCTTAACCACTGTGCTACATCACTTGCCACAGATGACTGGGCAAAAGAAAGGTGCTTCACTCATGAAGTTCCAGCAAGCAGGACAGAAAGGGTCCCCACCCTCCCAGAGCACCCATGCTGGTGAGGTGAGGTACAAAATGGAGTGGATGCTCAAGGAAGAAAAGGCCTTGCCAAGGAGGTAACAGTGAGGACCAGGTGAGTGGAAGGAGCCATGTGAAGAATGGGGGAGACGGCACTCCAGGTGGCAGGAATAGCAGATTCAAAGGCCCTGACTTGGGAGTGTGTGACCTAGACAAAGTACAGCAGGGAGGAGGCCTGTGTGGCTGGAGAGTGAGGGAGAAGGGGCTCCAGGAAGGGCAAGCTCTCCCTCCCACTGTTTTCCTAAGAGCCCAGCTCCCAGGTATACCAGGGCCCTTCCTAGGAGCCCATGCCACAACCCAGTGTCATCATCCTGCTGCTTTCAGCCACCCCTTGCCAAGCTGGGCAGGGAGGAGCCTGAAGGGCATCCAGGTAGGCAGCAGGGCCCTAGGGAACAGGAAGACACCAGCCACACCTGGGAATGCCCTGTCTCAGTCCTGACACATCCCACTCAGGCTAAAGTCTGAGTTCCCAGGCACGGTCCACAAAGCTGTGTGTAGCCTATACCACCTCCTTCCAGGCTACTTTCCCCACCCTTTAACTCACTCAATGCTAGCCATTGGGCTTTGTCAAAAACACTGAGCTCTTTCTGGTTTCAGGGTCTTTGCACTTGCTGTGCCCTCTGCCAAGACTGCCCTTCCCAGGTTCCTCAGGTCTCAGAGGTCACCTGAAGGGACCAAATCAGGGAAGGGGCACAAGGTTTGTCAGGTCTGGAACCTCAAGCTGAGTTCCCCACCTGCATCAGTGGACTCTACAGGGGGATAGGAAGAGGAAAGAGGTCCACCCTTATACAGAAGCTGCATCTGTAGCCCACCAGGATCCTCCAGGGCAGTTTTCTCAGCTGGACCCATGCCTGCCTTCCTCCCCTTTGTCCACTCCAACCAAGGCTGCTAAGCATACCTCTGTGAGGGGCCGGGGCCGCTTCTCCACTGCAAACTCTGTGTGGCACAGCTCACAGTAGCTGGTGTTGGATGAGGAAAGCCATCTCTCCAGACAGCTCTTGTGCACGGTGCCCAGTGTGCCAGTGCAGCCACACGGAGACAGCAAGCTCTCCCCATTTGCTCCCTCATGGCAGATCCGGCAGAAGGGACCATCGCTGGACAAAAAGATGGGACACATGAACAATAATCAGGCTTTCTGCCTATGCCTTCTTCACTACTCACTGGATTGTGAGCCACTTAGCAAACTCCTATTCGTCCTTCAACACCCAGCTCCAAATGTCCTTTCCTTTGAGAAGCCTTCCCAGACTCCCACAGGTGGAGTGATATACTTTCTCACCAGGGTTCTTGCAGCACCCTTTTATACCTGTCTACCCAAGATCCACTCCTTTTCCTGCAATACCACGCTGGTTGTCCTGGGCAATGGCCCTGCTCTTAACTCTTGGTCTTCAAGGCCTAGGGCAGAGCTGATGATACCCCTGATGACTTCAGGCCTGACCAATCAAAACACTGCACACGGTTGGCCACAGGACCAACTCAGGTCATGTGTGATGCAATCAGAGCCACAGGGAATTAACTGCTGAAATTCTTCACCTCTGCCCCACCGTAAACTACAGACAGCATGACTGATGTAAGTCTGAAGCTTCTGGTGGCAGCCTGGTTTCCACATGGAGTCTGTGAAGGATGCCAAACATAGAAAAACAGGAAAGTAGAGCCAAGGAAGAGACAGGGAAGGACAGATTCTTTAGGAGATCAATCAGAGGTGCTGGACCTAGCCACACCTAAAGACCATGCTACCTGAAAAACCTGTGTACCCAGGGAGAAGAGCTCCCCTGCTCCTCCGCCTGGTGGGGCTCAGACAACAGACACATCAAGCATCACAGAGCCCCTTCAGGGAAGTCTCAATCCTAGCCTGTCTCTGGGGATGCTAGTCCTTAGGGCAGCTCAGGAGGCTGGGAGTGTGGTCTTGGTGGGCCCAGAGGCTGCCTAGCACATGAGTCATTGTTTTCCAGACATTTCTGCCCAGAGAGGACTGTGGAACATGTGAAGAAGGAGAAGTAAGAAAGCAGTTTTCCAGAAAACACCAGTTTCCCCTCGGAAACTGTTTTCCATTCTTTTCTCAGCAGTTCTGCTGGAGGGGCAGGACCTGGCTGCTTTGAAACCAAAGAGCTGAGCTGACCCCTCATATCTGCCTTCTATCTACAGTCCTGTGTAGGGTGTGGCTTTCTCACACTCCTGGCTACATTCTCACCCGAACCCTGATCCTAGCCACTCCCCCAACAAGTTCACAAGAAAAAAATTCAGCTCCAGAGCCCAACCTTGAAATGTGGAAATGACAAGAACCTTGAGGAAGAGCCATGTCAATTTGGGGTCTGTACTGGAAAATTCTATTTTGGAGGAGCAAGTTCAGAGAGAAAAACAAAACAAAAACAAATTTATGATTGAGTACTTATGCACTGAGTGCTATTTGAAGTTCAACATCTTGGATTCATTTGTCTCATTCTCACAGGGAGCCTAGGAGGAAGGTGCCCCATTTCAGAGATGGGGAAACTGGGGCTTCAAGGGATAAACTCAATTATGCAAAATCTCATAGCTAGTCATCTGCAAAGCTGGGAAATCTTGCTCTAGGACCTGTGTATCCTTGGCCGCTATGCTACTAACATGTATGCTGCCTGCCACAGATGGTGGGGCAAGAGAAATGGGCTTCACTCAGGAAATTCTGGCAGGAAAATAACGTCCATGACACAGATGGGAAGGAAACGGCATAAGGAGTGGGTGTGACATGCACGGACCCCAGTGCACTGTCCTGAGAATGCTCCAAGCACAAGAGGAAGAGGGAGAATGTGACAAGGAAGGAAATGAAAGCTGGGGGTAGGGCAGTAGGGGAAGACCAGGTGGAAAAGCTGGGGATACAAAAATGCTCTGGGAAGTTTCCAGAAGGGCCTGGGCCCACTCACAGTCTAGTGGGCAGGAACGCCAAGGGGTCAGGGGCCAGAGGGGCCCCAGATGCTTGCTCCAAAACTAAGCCTTGGTGGATTATCCTGGGCCCTGGAGACACCACTTAGGCCTTTCTCTTTGGCCTCTGCAGGTTTAAAGGTCCAGAACTTTCTACCCAGCCTAGACTTTGCCGTGAGCCCTCAGGAATCAGGGTCTCCTTTGAAGCAAAATGGGAGGCTTGATTATTATGGAAGCACTGAGTATTAAATCTTTGAGTCCCACCCAGCTGTTCTCAGAGGGCAGAGACTGGCTAGGAGGAGTTCCAGTGGGAAGGGGTAGGCAAGCGAATGATGACCTGCTTGCACAGCCTCTACCAGTCTCCAGTAAGCTACTGGCAACAGCTGGAGGACCCTCATTTACTCCTGGGGAGACTGGCCAAGAGGCTGGAGGGCCACATTTCTGTGTGGTGACGGCTCTTTGGAAAAACGACGGCTTTCTCTCTGGGAAGGGCCAATCTCCCCTGGCCTTCATCCTGGACAGGTTGGGTTTGAGTTGCATCAGAGGCAGAGGGGAGGAGAAGCTGTGTCATAGTGGCTCAGGGGCCGATCAGGAGGTCCTGGTAGTCTCAAAGGGCATGGCTATCCTGGCTACCAGCTTGTGAGCAGAGGGGATGCTCTGCCCCCCACTGCTTGCCTGGGTCTAGGAGAGGGCTGTAGAAGAGGTTGGTGGGACCCATGAGCTTCTTCCTTGCTTCTCCCTCACTCTAGCAGGAGCCCTGGGTTCAAACCTCAGTTCTACTCAGTGACACAGGCAGGTAGGTCTACCTCCCTCTGGGCCTTGGTTTCCCCATGTATCAAGAGGGAGGGTGGTTCATGGTGAGTTCAACTCAGTGCCCCTCACAAGCCCCTTGTAGGGAAAACCCAGCTTTAGTCAACCTTCTCCCCATCCCCTTGCCCAGATAGCTCTGGCTAGGAGGCCCCTGGGCTTGCCAAGTGTCCCCCTACTCCCAACCAGAACACGGTCTTGTCTTCAAGGGATCTGATGGAAATACAGGCTTGAAACCCAGCACCCTGTAAACTTGTATAGCCACTAAAGAAAACAATATAGAAATTTCTCAAAAAATTAAAAATAAAGTTGCCATATGACCCAGCAATTCTACATCTGAGCATTTATCTAATAAACACAAAAACACCAACTCAAAAAGACACATGCACCTCTATGTTCATTGCAGCATTACTTACAATAGCCAACACATGGAAAAAATCTAGATATACATAGACAAATGGATAAAGAAGATACAGTAAATATATGTAATAGAATATTACTCAGCCATTAAAAAAAATGAAATCTTACCATTTGTGACAACATGACTAGACCTAGAGTGTATGCTAAATGAAGTCAGAGAAAGACAAATACCATATGCTCGCACTTACATGTGGAATCTAAAGAACAAAATAAATGAACAAACAAAACAAAACAGAAACAAACTCATAAATATAGAGAACAAACTCTGGTTGCCAGAGGGGACTAGGGTGAAGTGATGGGTGAAAAAGGATAAGGGAATTAAGAAGTACTAATTTCCGCCCTGGCTGGTGTGGTTCAGTGGACTGAGGCCCACCTGTGAACCAAAGGGTAGCCAATTGATTTCAAGTCAGGGCACATGCCTGGGTTGTGGGCCAAGTCCCCAGCTGGTGGCATGAGAGAAGCAACCAGACATTATTGTTTCTCTCCCTCTTTTTCTTCCTCCCTTCCCCTCTAAAAATAAATAAATAAAATCTTAAAAAAAGAAAAAAAGACATACAAACTTCCAGTTATAAAATAAGTCATCGGGACAGTGTATAGCATAGGGAATACAGTCAATAATATTATAATGACCATGTTACTTGACTTATTGTGCTGATCACTTTACATAAGATACAGTCATCCCTTGCTATATCGCGGCTCACTTATAGCCGTGACATAGCGAGGGACGACTGTATACTTCACTGGTGAGTACCCAGATGGAGGTAAGTATAGCTGTTTAACAACATTTTATATGTTGTTAAAAGTACGTACATTTGAGTGTAGAAAGTATTTAAGAGCATATGAAGTGTTTATAAGATTGTGGGAAAGATTAATAAGAGAGTGGGAAAGGTTTATCAGAGTGTGGGAAGGGTTTATAAAGCCTTAAAATACATATAAATAATAAAATAAATATAACACCACTACTTCGAGGATTTTCACCTATCGCGGGGGTCTCTGGAACATAATTCCCACAATAGGTGAGGGATCACTGTATGTAAATGTTAAATCACGATGTTGAAAAAAATCATGATGTTGTATACCTGAAACTAATATAATACTGTATGTCAACTATAATTAAAAATAAAGACAACATAGTCCTGGCTGAGTCGCTCAGCTTATTGGAGCATTGTCCCACACACCAAAGGGTTGTGGGTAAGATCCCTGGTCAGGGCATATACTCAGGTTGCAGGAGTTTTTATTCTTTTCTTCCTTTTTTAAAAAAGATTTTATTTATTTATTTTTAGAGAATGGGGAAGGGAGGGAGAAAGGGAGGGAAACACCAATGTGTGGTTGCCTCTTGCACATCTCCTACTGGGGACCCAGCCTGCAACCCAGGCATGTGCCCTAGACTGGGAATCGAACCAGTACCCTTTGGTTCACAGGTGTGCACTCATTTCACTGAGCCACACCAGCCAGGGCCTAGGTTGCAGGTTTGATCCCTGGTAGGGGTGCATACAGGAGACTGCTGATTGATGTTTCTCTCTCACATCAATGTTTCTCTCTCTCCCTCTCTGTCCATTACTCTCTCTTTAAAATCAATAAACATATCCTTGGGTGACAATTTAAAAAATGCAACATAAAAAAAATTAAATAAATAAATAAAAGCATGGAAACAAACAAACAAACAAAAAAAACCTGCCTTGGAGAAGTCTGGAAGGAAAATCCCCAATCTCATCTGGGCTCTAGCAGAACTTCCTGGAGAAAGTGACACCAGGCAAAGAGTGGCAGTGAGCTGCCTCCAAAGCCCTGAAAATCTTCCATCTGCTTCTTTTTTATGTTTGAAAACTTAGGAATTAATTCTGACACCTACTACAATATAAATGAACCTCAGCGACATTATACTCAGTGAAATAAGCCAGACAGAAAAAGGACAAATACTGTGGGAATCCACTCATATGAAGTCACAGAGGACCTAGACTGGTGTGGCTCAGTAGCTTGGGTGTTGTACTGCAAAGCAAAAGGTGGCCAGTTCTATTCACAGTCAGGGCACATGCCTGGGTTACAGATTCAGCGTTTGGTCAGGGCATGGTTGGGGTGCATAGGAGAGGCAACTGATCTCACATCGATGTTTCTGTCCCTCTTTTAAAAATAAATAAATAAAATCTTTTTAAAAAAAGAAAGTAGATGTGGATACTAGGGGCTGGGGGGTCAGGGAGGAGAAGGGGGTTTTTTGTTGAACAGGGACAGAGATTCAGATTTACAAGATGAAAAGGATTATAGGGACAGATGACAGTGATGGCTGCACAACAGTGTGAATGTACTTAGTACCACTGAACTGTGCACTTAAAATGGTTATGATGGTAAACATGTGTATTTAAACACAAAAAAATTGGGAGAAAAGCTTCTGAATTGAGTCATAGCAAATAAACAATACATTAAACTTGAAAAACTGGTGGCTATTTTAATGAGTTCAGATGGATTTAAATTTGTGTGGGGTTTGCTTTAAAACTCTTTTCTTTGGAACTGATGACAAACTGGTGAACTAGGCAGATTTAGCTCACAGGTGGGTCTGGAAGGCCAATGCCGAGGTTTAAACATATTTCTCAAATGCCAACAAGGTGGAAAACCCAATTGTGGGCACTATGTATCTCCAATTTAGAGATATGGGGGTGAGGCAACTTGTCCCAGGTCACAAAGGGAAGGAAGGCTGCCTTCAGCATGTCAGCCCAGGTGCTGGGAGTCACCTTCTGCACTTCTAACCCCTTCCTCACACTGCCTCTCCAAAACATGAGCTGTTCACCACATTCATCTTCTGATTGCACATAACAACCTGGAGTTTTGGCTTTTCCTGAAGAATCAGACCTGCTCAGCCTGGGCTCATTTCCCTGACCCACCCACATGGTTAGATTTCTGACCCCAGACTGGGAGGAAATCACTGGGCCTAGAGAATAAGTGAATGGAGGTAAGTATAGCTGTTTAGTCACTACTCACCTTGGCGTGTCCAAGGCCCGGATGACAGTTGAGAGGAGTCGGCCTTCCCTTGAAGTCACCTGTGCCACATATTGAGGTGTCCCAAGGCCTGTGGCCTCCAGGACCTTGGAGAAGGAGGGGCTGTTGGAGCAGTCACACAGGGAGCCAGGCAGGTGGCAGCAATCACCCGTCGTCATGGCCATAGGGAGCACAGGGACTTCAGAGCCCTAGACCCATGGTCCCAGGAGCCTGGGGAGAAGCCAACAGGGAAGTGAGGGGCAAGGCTAGTGGGCTGGACACAGAGCAGGGTTTGAATTCAGCAATCTCAGCCTCCGTTGCCCAGTCTGTAGGATGGGGCTTTGTAGGGGTTGTGAAGATTCAAAGAGATCACACATATAGATCAGCCCAGGCCTAGCATACAACAGGGACTTGTTATAATACCTCTAAGTCTCCTAACAAAAGCCAGCCCTGTCCAGCCTTCAGAGCTTGCAGGCCACCCCCAAATTCACATTTCCAGATATGGTAACAGCACCTAACAATTACTGAGCACCTGCTACGTGGTAGGCCCTCTTCTTGGTGCTTTCCAATGCCAGAACCATGCCCACCAACAATGAGACTGGTTCTCTATGGACTGAATTCGCAGGGCTGAGCTCAGAACAGGGCTCTGAGCAGGTTAGCCTGCTTCTGTGTAAGGCAGAGCAGACCTAGCAATCTAGCCCCACAGACAAGGATGGTGAGTGACCTTGATCAGTCTGGTTCATGGCCTCTTATATAGCTGTGAACTCCTTGACACTTAAGGCCATAAAGGAAGTGGCCCAGGCTGGGGAGGACCTTGGCAGGCCCTGTCCTCACCACAACAGCTGCTGTAAGCCTGGAGATGAAGCCATGGCAGATAGCTGGAGCCTCAGGCAGCAATTCGAAGTCAGCTCTGGGTAGGTGGCTTCAGTAGAGTTTGGGGCCCCACTCTGGGGTTTGATCTGCCAGAAGGAACCCTTGGCAACCCCCTCATCCCTCCCAGAAGCAGCCAGAAACTGCATGTTTCCCTGTGAGAATTTCATGAAAGTACTAGGTGCCCCTCTCAATGCCTATGGAGGTCAGTGCAGGTCCCCTGAAACTAAGGGCCTATCCCCAAGTTACCTCACACCTTTATCTCAGGAGCTTTGAGCCAAGACCTCAGAAATACTCACTGTGTAACCCACAGTCGGCTTTAACCAACTACTGCCAGTTAAAATCTGAGACCCAAAGAGACAGAGTCAGGGGAAAGCAGCGTAAGTTATTGACTAACATTTTGCACCAGGACAGTCTGCCTCTCAAGCTGCTGTCTCAGTGCTGGAGCTCAGAAGGAGTGAATTTGAAAACTGCAGGTATAGCCCACCTTGACTCCAGGAGACTACAAGTGATTGATCACAAGGACTGGTGACCTCTGAATAGCTTGACCAACAGTGGTATAGCCCACCACGCCCTCTGAGCCTCCACAGCAAAGCCAGATAAACAAGTATCAGCCAGAGGAAGGAGAAGCAAGGAGGAAGGGTGCCAGCTGGAGATAACACTGAGGGACAATAGCCAGTCTGCCATGTTGTGTACTGCTGTCCCTTCCATGTGTCTGCAGCCAGAACTTCCAGCCCAGAGGTCAGCAGAGGAGCCAGTGGCCCACCCAAGGGAATGCTCCTGCCCCTCCAAGGGTCAGCTTTAACCTTCCTGAGAGGAACTGGGCATTATTAGAATCATCATAGCTCCTGTATATTAGCTCCACCAATTTTTTTACTATCAGGAAGGAAAAAACTCGCAGGTAGATCTGCAAATGCAAGGCCTGCAAATGGCCAAAATAATAACAGCAATTGCCCTGGCTGGTGTGGCTCAGTGAATTGAGCACTGGCCTGTGAACCCAAAGGTCACGGATTTGATTTCTGGTCAGGACAAATGCCTGGGCTGTGGGCCAGGTCCCCAGTTGAGGGGGTGTGAGAGGCAACAAATGGATGTTTCTCTCACACATCAGTGTTTCCCTTCCTTTCTCCCTCCCTTTCCCTGTCTTTAAAAAATAAACAAATAAATAAATCTTTAAAAAATAAATAACAGCAATTACTCTTAAGGACTTATTGCATACTGGTACTGTATTAAGCTTACTGAACTCTAAACAGTTAAGTGTCCCCTTCAAAGGTCACCTCCCCAAAGAGGCCTTCCCTGACCATCCCAGCTAAAGTTCCATCATCCACATTATTACCCTCACAGAATGGGCCCCGCTCCAAGATGCTCTTATTTCTTCATCTACTTGTATAACCATGTTTGTCTTTCATGTTTCACTGAGCTCTGTGAAGGAGGGACAGAGTTGGACTTGTTCTCCACTGTCCCCAGCACCTGGCCCTATGTCTGCCACAGAGTGGCCACATTAATTTCCCAGCCCCTACTCTGTAAGAACAGACCTGTGTTCTTAAGAACAAGGTCCCACCCTGACCTGTGTGTCTCAGTTGGGTGTCGACCCACAGAGTGAAAAGTTGTTAGTTTGATTCCCAGTCAGGGCACATGCCTGGGTTGTAGCCTGGTCCCCAGACAGGGCACATGGGTCCCCAGATGGGGCGCATGTGAGAGGCAAACAGTTAATGTTTCTCTCCCTCTCTTTCTCCCTGCCTTCCCCTCCCTTTAATAATAAATAAAATCTCTTAAAAGGCTGGACACAAGGTTAGAATGCCAGTTTGCACTCATCTCTGGGGCTGCTGGGCAAACTTGGCCCAGTGCCCTGGAGATGGATTTCACTGAGTTTTTACAGCAAACCTGTGAAGTAAGTCCAATAACTATCCCCATTTGAGACTAAGGCTCAGATGGGGGCAGTTACTTGCCCAAGGTCATACAGCTAAGAGACAGTGCCAAAATTTAAAATTAGTGTAGTGAGTGGATCTGGGACTCAAAAGACCTGTTTTTTGTTTTTATATTTTATTTATTTATTTTTAGAGAGAGGGGAAGGGAGGGAGAAAGAGAGGGGAGAAACATCAATTGGTTGCCTCTTGCGCACCCCCAACCAGGAACCTGGCGTGTGCCCTAACCAGGAATCAAACCAGTGACCTTTCAGTGTGTGGGACAATACCCAACCAACCCACTGAGCAACACCAGTCAGGGTAACGGGTTTTTTTTAAGTCCTGACTTTGTCACTGATGCTGTGTGTGGACAAGTCAATTGGCTTTTCCGGGCCTCAACCTTCTCTGTGAAGTTGATGGAGTTGGTGGACTGTATCTGCTGAAGGGCTTCCTGAGAAGGAGCCCTCAGGATCAATTCCTCCAGTGAAGTAAAGCTCACCCTTGGCTGGGACTGTCTGGGTGATGCTATGGCACCACAACCTTTCCACACCTGCCCCAGTCTCCTTTTACTGAAGGCAGGAAACGGAAAGAAGTCAGAGGACCCTAACTCCCCGCAATGTGATCTGTGGCTAGCTACATCAGTCTCCGGCTTTGGTTTTCTCTTCTATAACATGGTAGTCAAAGTATACCCAGCTCAAAATTCCATAAATATTAAGAAGTCAATAAATATTACCTCTTACTATAATTGTCATCATCAGCTTACAGAACTGTTGGGTTTGATAAGATAAAGCACAGTCAGAGGCTGGCACACAGTAAATGCTCAATAAATGTTCACCGTTTGTTTGTTTGCTTGTTTGTTTGCTTTGTTTTGTTTTGATAAATGTAGAGCCTGTGAAATGCATTCATTCCTCTTCACTCACCACAGAGAGGCTCCTATGTGCCCTTCAGTAGGTAATTCCCTGGCCCTGCTTTAGAGGTCAGGTTCGAATACCAGCTCTGCTCTTACTTGCTGTGTAGCCCTAAGCAAAATCTTGACCTCTCTAAACCTCGATTTCCTCATCTATATAACAGAGATCATATTTAGCACTTATACCTATTATGAGCCCTTCAGGACTAAATGAACCAATCATTTAAATTGTTTGGAGTACCCACTAATAGCCATGCATCCTGCTAAGCAAGTCCTTTCTATACGGTGCCGGGTTCACTATATTTACTATTTCCCAGGCAGAACCCCTTTGAGGAGGAGGTTGAGGAAGGATATTGACCACTTACTGACCGCCTACTGTGTGCCAGAAGCTCTCTTCATTAGCCACCTTCTGGATCAGCCCCATTAGGTTGGCGCTGGGATGACCGATTTTCACAGATGGGGAAACCGAGGCTCGGACACCTCCCGCTGCCCTCAAGACAGGAACTGCGATCCCCTCGTTCAGAGAAGGCAGAGGCCAAGGGTCGGAACCCGGCCGCCCCGCCCGGAACCAGGCGCAGGCCTCGAACTCGGAGATGACCCGCGGACCGATGTCCTCCGATCCCACCTAGCCACCCATGCCCACCTGATCCGCGGCCGGGCCGGGAGGCCGCGCAGGACCCTCCGCTCGCCCCGGCCTGGGTCCCGGCCCGGCCGGTCCAGTCAGCGCCGCTAGCTCAGCTCCGGCTGGCACCTGAGTCTGGACACGGCCCGCTAACCCGACAGTGTCAGGGCCCAATGGTGAGCCAGTCTCTGTCGCTCTGACAAATAGCCGAGCATGTCCCGCCTGGGAAAGGCGGGGCCGGAGGCGACAGGGTTATTCTGGGCCTCACCGGCAACGCAGTGCCGCAGCTTCTGGTTACGCCCCTGCCGCGCTCTAGCCCCGCCCCCCGCCCGACCCCACTCCCAGTCTTGGCCCCTCCCCAACCCAGCACCGGGTCTGAGCGGGACTACTGGCGCCACCTGCCGAGGACCCGTGCTTGTTAATAATAAAACCGTTATAGAATTTGACACCCGGCAGTGATTTGAGTAGAGTGTTCATCACCTCCCTTATGCTTCCCATCAATCCTGAGGGAGGAAGACAACATATGGTCACATTTCACAGAGAGAATACAGAAGCTTAGAGAGGTTAGGAGACCGTGGAAGGGCCGAAAGCCAACATCATTCATTCATTCATTTATGCAATAGATTCATTTACTAAATGTAATATAAACATCAATAAGAAAGCCTATTATCAGTGAGCACTGTGCTAGACGCTGGGGATACAATATTGAGTAAGAGAAATTGCTGCTCTTATGGACTTCAATCTAGGGAGTGAGGCAGACATAAAACAACCAATTATTATTAATTGCAATGGCGATAAATTGTAGCAAGTGAGGAAGCGCATATCATGGAATAATTTGGAAAATCCTAAAATATGTCTTTGATGAAGAAGCAATTAAAATGACAAGTAAGGTGAGTGGAGGTTAACTAGAAGGAAAGAGGGGGGTCCTAGGCAGAGTTCAAGTACATGCAAAAAGCTTCAATACTCCTTTCTTGTCCTGCCCCTCTTTTATTTAATGTATAGGTCAGCTCAACTGCTTAAGTTCTGTTGTGTTATACTAGCTTATTTCATTATTTTTAATGAACAGATAAATCACAGAATTTTTATATATTTGCTTTTACAAGTATTTTATATAATTATAAAACAAAATTTGAAGACTTCCCTGAAAACAAAAGTAAAACTAATGAACTTGTGTATTCAGTTAGTGACAAAACAGTTGAACTCCTAGTGACTTTAAAACACAGTAACTTGTGCATACCACTACTATATCAGTAGAAGTGGTGTTAAAACTGTTGTTCTAAGCATGCTGCATGGGTAGTGTTAGATAAACCAAAGGAGTTGGTTGTCAAACCAATTGTGTTGGTGTCAAGAACTGGGATTTTCAGAGGGCGTGAAGGAGGTATATATGTAAGATTGATCATGTTAAATAAAACCCCTGTAGTCTTGAATTTGAATTGGGAGTATCATGAAGTATTTTATTTTTATAAAAGGCAAACATTTCTTATTTTTGTCTACTAAAATGATCAGAAACAAAGACCAATCTCATTGCAATGAGCACTCCCCAAGCTCGTGGTCTTAAAATACCATTTCTAATCCAAAGAACTAGGGATCCTGGTCAAGTAGCTCAGTTAGTTAGAGCATCATCCTGATACACCAAGGTTGTGGGTTCCATTCCCAGTCAGGGCACACACACGAGTCAACCAACGGATGCATGGGTGGGTGGAAAAGAAATGGATGTTTCTCTTTCCTTTCTTCTCTCTCTATGATACATCAGAGAAACCTGACACATCATGATACACCAGAAAGCACAAGAGTTATCAAAGAATCAATGACATTACCTACTAATGTAGTTTCAGTGGGGGCTAACCAGAAGAAGCTTCCACTGGCCACAAATTAGACAACTTGGCCTCTAATAAGGATAATGATTGCAGATCAAAACACATCAAATGTTTAAATCTATGTACTGGGTTTTTAATTTTTTATCTTTGAATAATGTCAAATTTACATAAAAGTTACAGGAATAACGCAGAGCTCCTGAAAACCTTTTGCCTAATTGTTAACATTTCAGAATCCTTTGAGTATCAGGTACACACATAGTATCTCATCAATCCTCAATACTTCAGTGTATTTTTCGTAAGTATAAGCACACTCTTGCAAATAATCTCAGCTAGAACCTTAAAAATCGGGAAATCAATATTGATCTCCTATTACCATGTAATCTACAAATGTTATTCATAGTTTCAATAAAGTCCTTCAAAGCTCCAGAATCCATCCCAGGATCACATTATATCTAATTCAGTCTCCTTAAGTCTAGAACAGTTCCTCAGTCTTGCTTTGTCTTTCATGACCTTGATACTTGGGAAGATTACAGGCTAATAATGTAGAAAGCCTCTCAACTGGTGTTTATCTAATATTTCCTCATACTTTATGCATTTGGAATAGGAACCACAGTAGTGATGGTGTTCTCAGTGCATACGTGTATCAGGGCACAGAGAATGTTGATTTCTCTCATCACTGATTACGCTATCCTGATTAAAATTGTCTACCAGGCTTCTCCAGCATGACTTAGTATGTTGTACTTGTTAGTAACTGGTTTACAGGAAAATTGAAACTAATTATCTTGTTCCTCAACAAACCTTTACATACCAGATTTAATATCCACTGATGAGCCAATTTTTGTTGTTAGCTTTAACAAGAGTTTTTCATTTTTACTTGCAAGAATTCTGGAGGAAGGTCCTGAATGGGTAGTTCAGTTGGTTAGAGCATTCTCCTGATATGCCAAGGTTGTGGGTTCAATCCCTGGTCAGGGGACAAGCATTGAATGCAAAGTGGAACAAATCTCTCTCTCCCTGATTCTTCCTCCCTCTCTCTCTAAAATCAATAAAAATTACACATTTTAAATTTTAGAAAAAGAAAATAATTCTGGAAGGGGATGGCTGCTGGTACTGGTTTGGTCAAATGATGGTAGGGCCAATGACTGAGAATCTCTTGGCTTTTTTCTCATGGTAGCAAGATAGCTGCTGTGGCTCCAACCATCACATCCTCAATCAAGGCAGAAAGAAGGAAGTAGCACTGGAATGTTACCCATTCTTGTCTCTTTTATCATATAATGGTTGCTAAATAATTTTTCAAATTTCAACTTTCAGCACTTCCATACTTACTGGCTCAGCAAGCTGTTCTAAGGTGGCATTTTCTTGAAAATTCTCCTACCTCAGCTCTAGAATCAACCATTTCTCCAAGGGGACCTGGTTCCTTTTAGTATGAATGATATTTAGAAACCAGTATCTGAGTGCTGGGTGTGCTCATTGCTACCACGATATCATTAATTCTTGGTTGTCTTATTATAATTCATATGTATATATGTACATATGTACATTTACTTCTCTATCATGAAAACCATGAACACACACCAATACCTTTATTCTAATCTAACATCAAGAATTATCCCAGCCCCTTTACATGTTTCTAACTTCCTTCTCTAACAGTGAGAAACCTGGCTCCCATGATTCTCAGTGAATTTACTCATGTTTCCACCCTTCAACCTACCCTGTGTGTAACCAAACTCCTAGATACACTGGGGAAGAGTCAGCTCCAGATATAATGTCCCTACCCAATTCGACTCCTATTGGGCACAGTGGTCGAAAGCTTGGCCCCAAGAAAGGGGCTAAATCTGTACATTTTAAATGAAAATTAATAAGTTACCTTTGAAAGTTTTGGAAGCCAACCCATAATCCTAAAAATTATGCATTTGAAAATGGACAAGCAAAGAAAATACTTAAGCATTTATGCTGACCTATACAATCTGTATAGGTAAGCACATAAGGGGAAAAATTTTTTAATTGATGTACTTCGGAAATAAAGAGGGGATAGAATTTGAGTATCACCCCTTTGAAGCCCCTTGTGGATTACGAATCTAGGTGATGCTTTGTAGCAGCTGCTAATACCACAAATGAGAAACATGCTGACATCTGCCTCCTGTGTATGTGCGCAACATCACCTATGAGGTGCTCAATCCTAAATCTGAGCAACCACTAGATCTACTAATTTACAGGGAATGATGGGGACAAAAAAATATGTCAAATGACACCATAAGTCTATACAGAGAGAAAGTGGTTGCCAAGGGCTAGGGGCAAGGAAATGGGAGTTATTGCTTAATGGGTACTAGGGTTTCTTTTTGGAGTGGTGAAAAGGGTCAAGATTAGATAATGAAGATTGCACAATATTCTGAATATACTAACTACCGCTCACTGAATGTACATTTTAAAATGGTTAAAATGGTGAATTTTATGTTAGTGGTATTTTGTGTCAAAATTTTAAAAAGCAAAAAGAGCCCTGGCTGGCATGGTTCAGTGAATTGAGTGCCCTCTTGCAAACTGAAAGGTCACTGGTTCAACTCCTGGTCAGGGCATTTGCCTAGGCGTGGGTCAGGTCCCCCAGCTGGAAGCGTGCCAGAGGCAACCAATCACTGTATCTATCACACATTGATGTTTCATTCACTTTTTCCCTCCCTTTCCCTCTCTCTAAAAATAAAATCCTTTTTTTAAAATAAAGCAAAAAGACACCATAGGGAAGCCATTACCAAAATTCAGACTGAGAAACTACAATTCAAATGACCCACTTCTTAAATTAAAAAAATAATAAAAAAGAGAGAGAGAGAGGCCCTGGCTGGTGTGGTTCAATGGATTGAGCGCTGGCCTGCGAACCAAAGAATTGCAGGTTTGATTTCCGGTCAGGGCACATGCCTGGGTTGTGGACCAAGTCCCCAGTAGGGGGCACACGAGAGGCAGCCACACACTGATGTTTCTCTCCCTCTCTTTCTCTCTCCCTTCCCCCTCCATAAAAATAAATAAATAAAATACTTTATAAAAAAGAGAGAGAAAGAGATCCAAGTAGGAAGATCAATAGGTTAAAAGACTAAAGAGACAGATCAACCACTTGAGCCAGTGGACATGTTTGGATACTGATTCAAACAAATCACTAAAAAATTTAAACCAGTAAGGGAGATGTGAACACTAGCTGGATATGTGACAATATTAAGGAATTACTGCTCATTTCTTAAGGAGTAATAATAGTATTGAGGTTATGTTACCAAAAAAGTCTTTATATTTTAGAAATGCACACTGAAGTATTCCTATCAGGAGTATGGATTGCAAATTCTTTCTCCCATGTTACATGTTGTCTTTTCACATATCCCCCCACCTTTAACTTTTTTTTAAAGGTTTTATTTACTTACTTTTAGAGATAGGGAAAGAGAGGGAGAACAAGAGGGAGAGAAACATGTATGTGCGAGAGAAACACCAATTGGTTGCCTCTCACACACCCCCAGCCAGGACCCAGGCCTGTGCCGACAGGGAATTAAACTAGCAACCTTTAAGTTTATAGGCTGGGGCTCAACCCACTGAGTCACACCAGCCTGCGACCTGAAAAGTTGCAGGTTCCATTCCCTGTCAGGTTACCAGGTTCCCAGGTCGGGGAGTGCGAGAAGCAAACGATTATCTCTCACACATCAAAGTTTCTCTTCCTCTTGTTCTCCCTCCCTTCCCCTCTTTCTAAAAGTAAATAAATAAAATCTTTAAAGCCCTGGATGGCGTAGCTCAGTGGATTGAGCGCAGGTTGCAAACCAAAGCATCGCAGGTTTGATTCTCAGTCAGGGCACATGCCTGGGTTGCAGGACACGGCCCCCAGCAACTGCACATTGATGTTTCTCTCTCTCTTTCTCCCTTCCTTCCCTCTCTAAAAATAAATAAAATCTAAAAAAAAAAAAAATAATAATGGTTAACTTTAAAAAAAAAATAGGTGTTTAAAAAAAAAGTGGTTAAGACAGTAAATTTTACCAAAATTACAAAACAAAAAACCCTGAACAGTGCCTGGCACAAAGCCAACCTGCTATGCTTATTAAACCACTAAGATTTAAAAACACACACACACAATACTGAAATTAGAGTAACTAAAATAGCATCACTGGGCTATCGCACTTGAGGGGACAGAGTCACACCAGTCTTGTTCCCTGGTATGTGCCCGGGGCCTGGCCAATCTGAGGTTCCTGAGAGATTTGATCTTTGACTGCTTGAAACACTTCCGGGTGCCTCACTGTTTCCCCTAGCTCTCCTGAAGCTCCCATTCACTCTCTTTTTTCACAGCCTACCCCACCAAACCCAGTGGACCCGGGGTCCATGTAAATGGCCCCTGGATTGTACACCCCACCAGATGCCCAGCCCAAGGTGCTCCTCAGCCAGGAGCATGAACCCTGGTTTACCCCAACTCCTGTCAGAACAGCCCCTATGACTCAGAGCTCTTTTGGAGGGATGTGTGGGTCTAACCCATTCTTCCAGGCAGAGAAGCCAGAGCCTGGAATTCTCTCTGGTGGCTCTTCTAGGGGTCAAGAGCACAAGCAGTTTTAGCCAGAGCCTGGAACTTCTAGAATAGCTGCCCGGCACTCAGGTGAGGAAATATACAATGGGTCATATGGTCAGTGCATGGAGGGGGCTGGCCACACCTCCGTCTCCTCCACTTTGTGAACTGGCCCCCAGACCAGTCCTACCTGCCTTGACAAGGGAAGAATCAGAAAAGAGGAAGAACCCTAGGTCATCCACCTCACCTCTGCCACCAGCATCTCCTCAGAGGTCAGTCTAGCATGGAGAGAGCTAGGCAGAGACTGGGAACACCAACATCTGGGCTAACCCCTCTTGCCAGTCCTTGCTGGGACCCCAGGTGGTGGCCAGGTGGGGAGTAGATGGAAGCAATTAGCAGTCCAACCCCCAGGGAAGGGAGGTAAAAGAGGTGGCCACAGCTCATCCCGAGAGTTCCACCCTCAAGTCTTAAGAGCTGGTAGTCCTGGGACCAGGGTGTTTAACATCAAACCCCCCAGCCTTCCCTTCCTCCCTGCTACAGGTACAGTAGCCTGGAGAGGGCCCAACCCACCCTTACCCACCCTGGGATCCCCATGGTCAGCTCAGGAGGCCTCTGCATGGTTCTGGACGGAGGCTCAGGCCTGATCTTCTAGCTCCCTGTCAGGCTGAGCCAGGCAGTACAGCCTCTGGCAGGATGTGTGCAGCAAGGGCCCTGGCTCAGGGGTGACCACCTGGGGGAGAGAAAGAAGACAAAGGCGCAGCAGCAGGTTTCTGTCCAGAAAGTCAGGTTACACATTTTAGTAATGGGCCAGAGAAATGAGGCATTGGGGCAACAGTACAGGGGCCACAGGGATAATAAGAGATCTGAGAGCTGGGGTTTGGCGTCAATCTTACAAAGTGTATAAAGAATCTGTGTTTCTCTATAATAACAAAAAAACAGAGGCTACAAGAGCGGTTGTATATACAAAACACTGAGATATTGCTTCACTTGCAAACAGGTTCCCGACCAGACAGGGAAACAAGACAGAGAGAAGGGCATGGGAAGGGTGGGGAGTGCGCTGCGTGCAGAAAGGAAGGGGGAGGTCTTCTCCCAGCATAAATCTACAGGCAGAAGCTGAGCTGAATTCACGCACGCACGGGAGAAGCCAAGGTCAAAGGTGTGAGCCAGTGCTCACTGTGTGTGGGGAGTGGGGTGTCAGGAGTCTGTTTCTGCCTGCCCAAGCCTCTACCCCTGGTCACCTGCTCTTCAGGCTTCAGCCCAGTGTGGAGTTCTAGGTGGGGAGCAGGGCCAGCTAAGACAACTGGCTAGAGAGAGAAGGAGATAATCACTCCTTGGAGTCTGCTGTAGGAAGCTGAAGAAGCCTGCTTGGTGTGCCCATCTTCTTGCCTCTGGGTGGCCCTGTCCATCCTACCACCTTGCCCACCCCACCCAGAGGCCCACTGGGACCCAAGAAAAACAGATGCAGCAGCTAGGCTTCAAGTTTTCCTGGGGGTGGAGGAGAGGGACAAGAGGTGCTGTTTGACTCCTGTTCTTCCTAAGCTCCAGCTGACCATGCAGAGCTCAGTGGAACGGTGGGAATCAGTCACAGAGGGACAGAGAGGGTCAGGTCAGGGAAAACATCATGGTGAGGGGTGGGTGAAGGGTGAGGATGTGCACGCACACTTGGACGAGGCACGGGGCGGTCACAGGTTCTGGCAGCACTGCAGCTTGTTTGGTTTCTGTCCATCAGTAGTGGGCGGCACACTGATGTCCACCACGTTGTTGCCAGGGGACTCATCATGGGCTGCGCGGTCTGCAATCTGCTTCTGTGACACGATGCGGTAGATCTCTGCAATGGGGGGATGTGAGGTGAGTGCCTTGCATGCCCCTGCCTATGGCGACTGGCCCCTGCAGTATTCATCTGGATATTCCTCCAGGGAGTATCCCCAAAGGTGTGCCCTTCCCAAAGGTCCCCAATGTGGTCTACTCACACCCCATGACTTAAGGGTTCCCCCAGTGCACTCAGCAAGAACAGAACCCACATTTGGTCACAGAGATACCCTCCCAAGCTCAGGGTTCTTCTTAAAGAACAGACACCCCCTCTTCCTCAAAATAAACTCCCAGAAGACCAGGAACTCTGGGCCGGAGGCCACCTGCCTGCCGCCCAACTATTCCCTAGTAGAGCCATGGCAGGGCCCATCCCAGGAAGCCAGGTCCAGGGGGTCTCTGGGTCCTAAGTGCCAATGAGGTGGGACCTGGCCAGACCTCATGGAGCATGCCATGTCTGTCCTCCTGTCCAGACTGAGTGGCAGGCTTAAGGGATGAAGGTTCAGGGGCTACATTATGGAGCATGTGACCAGTGTGGCTGATACCCTTCCCACGCCACCCTTAGTGGGCCTGCTGGGGTTCCTGTGGCCCCCACCAGGCTCTGGACCACCTGTGAGAATGTTCTTGAAAGCTTCCTCTACGTTGGTGGAGTCCAAGGCTGAGGTCTCAATGAAGGACAAGTTGTTCTTCTCTAGAACAGACAGAATATTGCCCAGATGAGTGGGAGGCTCCCATGTACCTTCTTGGAGCCCCTATGTGCTATCCTCTCACTTGGCCCAGGAAATGAAAGGCTGGGGTCAAGGGGGTAGGACTGAAATGTCCACTCCTTGGGGAAGGAAGGATGGGACTGCAACCATGCCCATAGCCAGGGAAAATGGGAAGGACCTAGAGGGGCTGCTTACTTTCCAGGGATTTTTCTGAGGCCTTAGTCACAGCCCTGCTGTCAGGAGCTAGTCCCTGCAGGAAGCCCTGACCCTAAGTGAAACCCACTCCAACCAATAGGCACTCACCTGCAAAGGCACGGGCCTCATCAGTGGGCACGGCCCGCAGATGGCGCAGGTCACTCTTGTTGCCCACCAACATGATGACGATGTTGCTGTCAGCATGGTCCCGCAGCTCCTTTAGCCAGCGCTCCACATTCTCATATGTCAGGTGCTTGGCAATGTCATATACCAGCAGTGCACCCACTGCACCGCGGTAGTACCTGTGGGGACAGAGGACAGGGCCCAGTAATGAACTGCCCGTCAGCACCCCATGGGGGCCCCCAAGACTCTGTGGGCAGTGGCTCCCAGGCCCATGCAGAGCTCAGCTTAGGAGTGGCCACCAGGGCCTCAAAGGAGGGCTCTGTGGCCCCGATTCAGCTCAGGACTACGGGGGCCTGAGAAGGAGGTGTAGGGCCTGAGCTCAAAAGACACCCACCAGGCCCTGGCTGGCGTAGCTCAGTGGATTGAGTGCGGGCTGGGAACCAAAGTGTCCCAGGTTCGATTCCCAGCCAGGGTACATTCCTGGGTTGCAGGCCAGAACCCCCAGCAACCGCACACTGATGTTTCTCTCTCTCTCTCTCTCTATCTCCCTCCCTTCCCTCTCTAAAAATAAATAAATTAAAAAAAAAAAAAAAAAAAAAGACACCCACCAAAAAGGAGAAGGAAACAGTACCTATGCAGGGAAAAGGCTGCTGCGGGGCGAAAGCTCCAATGCCTGCCATGGCCTGCTCACCAAGGAGACTGATAGACACACAGCCACCCCAAGGGGTTAAGAGATGGGGAGGTGAGCAGGCTTCAGTGGAGGGTGTTCAGAGGACAGCGAGTGGTTAATAAGGGAATAGCCTGGGGATTCAGAGGGGTCTGGAAGAAGGTAGCTCAAGTAGGTCCTGATGGCTGTGTAGCCATAGGGACCTGAGGGAAGAGGAAGACTGGGCACACAGCCAGGCAAGGCAGGCCACGCAGGCAGGACTCGGGGTGGGCAAAGTGGAATGGACCTCTTCCAGGCCCAGATAATTCCCTTCCCTGCACAGCCAGCACCCAGCAAAATGGCAGTGGCCCACAGGGCCATGTGCCATGCCCACTTGAGGTCACAGTGTAGTCAAGGGTGGGCAACGGTGTTCCTGAGGTTCCCACACTCCTGAAGGTCTCGTCCCTCCACCCTGGGCCAACCACAGAGCTGTTTTCCTCCTCTCCTCCTGCCCAACTCCTACCCATCCTTCAGGGTCCATTGGCCCTATGTCCACAGTCTCCCACATCTCCCCATCACTGCCACTTACGCGGAGGTGATGGCCCGGTAGCGTTCCTGGCCAGCGGTGTCCCAGATCTGGGCCTTGATGGTCTTGCCGTCCACCTGGATGCTGCGGGTGGCAAACTCCACGCCAATGGTGCTCTTGCTCTCTAGGTTGAATTCGTTGCGGGTGAAGCGGGACAGTAGGTTGCTCTTCCCCACACCCGAGTCCCCGATAAGCACCACTGTAGAGGCAGAGAGGGGTATAGGTGAAGATCCATGGGTCAGAGCAGAGCGGTCGCCCAAACCAAGACCTACATGCCACCCATGTCCACCATGACACCCAACAACAGGGTGGAATCAGAGCTGTCCTAGAGCCCCTCACCTGATGCACTACATTTCTGGTGCAGAAGCTCCAGGATTCTAGAAACACAGCCACTGTAGATAGCATAACACCCTGCCTGTGTCTGGTTCTTCAGAGCAGGGCTGCCCCAGCTAAGGCACAGGGACCCAGGTATCCCAGCAGGCAGGAGGCTTGGGATCCATCAACCCCAAACTTCCACTGCAGCCCTGTGGCCCAATAAGCTCTGTGGCTGGGCGACCTTGAGCAAGTCACTTAACCTCTCTGAACTGCCTTTTCTAAAGGTATGAAAAGAAAAAGAGGAATAAGAGCCATTTCAGGAAAGGAAACACAAGAACTTGCAGGATCAGAACTCAGGTAGCACCCAGCCCACTAAGACAGGTGTGAGGAGCAATTGTTAATTGTTCCACCAGGTTCCTACCAACAAGGATCTGGCTCTGGAGTTTTGAGTAACAGGAAATGAGAAGCCTCATGCCCCATGTTCACCCTGCTACTTCCTCATGGAAGGCAGTTGCAAGCAAACCAATACGCTGCTCAACACAGCCATCTTGCCCTTTAAAACAGGAATACACCCTCTGCATTGTAGCTGAGAGGGAACAGAGCCTGCTAGCCTTCCCATCACCCCACCCCCAGAGTTGGACCACTCTGCTGGGACATACAGGACAAGAATCCTCCTGAGCAGGGCAGAGCAGCCCCAGTGGGTCTATCCCATTCCCTTTAGGAGTGGGGCAACTCAAGATGGTCTAGGAAGGTCCTGGGCTGAGGAGGGCTGTCCTCAGTCCCTGGGCACACTGGAGGGGAATTGTGTTTATGGGTGTGTGTGTGTGTGTGTGTGTGTGTGCGCGCATATTCATGAGTTTATGTGCAGCACAGAAGGAACAACACATGGCAGTCTAACCAGACACCCCACCTGGAAACCACATGGATCTCCCTCCTCCAAGTGTGAGCCTTGGGTTCTGGCACCTGAGGGTGGATCTGCCCAGTGCAGAACTGGGCACTGCAGGCTTGGTCATCCACAACCCCAATAAAAAATGTCACGTGTGCATGTCAGGATTCCCCCCACTTCTTACCACCATCATGGCCCTGACCCTAGCTAGTCCAGGCAGCTTCCATCTCTCCCTGGGTTGCTGTACCAGCCCATCCCTGGTGTCCCTGAGTTTTCTCTCACCCACAACCAACAGAATGTTCTCGTCGCAGCCACCAGGGGGTATGTGTGAGCTCCTGAATCAGGGCTTGCCAGTCCTCTGCCCACTGCCCTCCCGGGATCCTGCCTCCTGGTGGCAAAAGCCCAAGTTCTCCTCACGACCCACAAGGCCCTGCATGACCTGCCCTTGTCCTTTCCCTGACCTCATCCCCTCTCTCTCCTGCTTGCTTACTCCACTCCTGCCACATGGGGCTTCTCACTGGGACTCAAAGATATGCAAGTGCACACTGTCTTTGGTCTGGAATGTTCTTCCTCAAGTACTGGCCTGCTTCTCACCATCCTCTCCTCCATGTGGTGCCTCCGATGGCACTTGATCAAGGAGAAGGCCCTCCCAGAAGTCCTCTTAAAACCTCACTCCCTCCAACACTCCCACTCCCATCCCCTGCCTTTCCTCCATAGCTCTCACCACCCTCCAACACTCACCTACTTTTGCTTAATTGTTTTTTGCCAGTCTTCCTCAAGGGCAGGATCTTGGACAGTATCATTTCCCTGCTGTCTCCCCAGGACCTAGCACACAGAGCCTCGCACACAGAACAGAGTGAACAAAAAACCAATAAAGTGGTTGTACAGCCTCCAAGCCACCATCCTCAGGCAATAGGGAAAAAGAGGGCCAATGATCCAGCCCCCCTAACATCCTCTCTGGGCTGGCTGCTTCAGAGCCAAGAATAACAAGAACAAGAAGAAAATTTAGTCCTACTTAGTTGCTTAGACCACAGTCCCGATAAACCAAGGTTGCAGGTTCAATCCCTGGTCAGGGTGTATATAAGACTCAACCAATCAATAAAATAAAAATCAATAAAAAAATAATTTTAAATTTTATTTTAGAGAGAAGGGAAAAATAGTAATTTGTTGTTCCACTTAATTTTATGTATTCACTGGTTGATTCTTTTTTGTAATGTAATGTAATTTAATTGTAATGTAATTACAATTTTGTAATGTAATGTAATTGTAATGTAATTTTACATTATTTTTAATTTATTTTTTTCATTACCATTTATCCCCTCTATACCCTCTTCCATCTCCACCCATCCCACTGACCCCTCAGTGATTAATTCTTGTATGTGTCCTGACTGGAGAATGAACCCTCAATTTGGCTGATTGGGACAACACTCCAACCAACTGAGCTACCTAGCCAGGGCAAAAGAAGAAAATCTAATGAATCTGTGCTGAGAAAGCCCCATAGATGCCTCATGTAACCCATTTCACTGATGAGGAAACTGAGGCATGGACAGATGAATGATAGCCCATGGCACACAATGAACAGAAGGACAAAAGGATGCAAAGCAAGGGTCTGGGCAGGCCCACTCCCACTTCCCAACCATCCTCACCTAGGCCACCTGCTGAAAAGTGATTGGCAGGATTTGAACCCAGGTTTTCTGGGTCTGGGGCTGAGCTCAAGGATCTGAGTTCAGCCTCCTCCTCTTGTACCACCTGGGACATCTCAGTTCCCTGGAGTCACCAGCAAACTCCTGCTCATCCTTCAAAATCCTTCAAAACCCTTCAGGCCTCTCCCCCACTCCCCAAACCTACATGGCCTAGTCCACAAGACCTATGATGACAGAGCCAGTGTTTTCTCCTGACATGGTGGGTACCCAACATGAGACTGCCAGAATGACTTCAGAGAAAGGTAAAAAGCAGGTGAAGATAGACATGGGCCTGCAGTCCAGGGCCAAGGGCTCCCAACCATGCTGGTGGGGTCCCAAATGGGCTCTGAGACCATGCAGGGCCAGGCTGGGATGACTGTGGGGCCTACTATCCAAAACCCCAACCCCTCATCTCCTTCCCATAGCAGCCACAGGAACCTGACCAAGGCTGGGGAGGTTTGTTCACATTCCTCCATCAGGAACGGATGAGGAAGAGTCCCTTCTGGGTCCTGCATTGAGCCCTCTGACCCCCTCACTCCCTAGCCAGCTTTGTCCCAGTGTGAGGGTCCCCTTAGCCCAATTGATTCTGTCCTGGCCCAGCCCTAAAGGTTTCATTATCTAGTTCTTGGAGCCACCCCAGAGACAAAAGTCATTATCATTCCCCTTGTACAGTAGGGGACACTCAACATACAGTGACTAGGTCCTCCAGTCCAAGGTCACCCAGCGAGAACAGTGGAGGCAAGAACAGGACAAGGGCCACCAGCCACTGCCCAGATAAATGGTAGAAAAGCCAGGATGCCCAGGTACTCCCTGGCACAGGTGTCCAGTGCAGAGATGGCCAGCAGGGCAGTGACCAGGCTGGCTCTGGGTGTATTGTGGGAATGAGAATGACACTGTCAAAGGCACAAGTGAGCTATTGTTTTGGGGAAATAAAGGGCTCTTGAGGGCGTGACCCCCACCATTTCCACAGAAGCTGACGTCAATGCCGGTCAGGAAATGGCCTCCCTAGACACGCCACTTGGCTGGCAGGGAAGGTAAGCCCAGTTAGCAAAGACAAAGAGCTGGCATCTCTTAAGGCATGGTCCCCTGGCCTGCCCCACATATAGTGTAGCACCCCCAGGGCCCATATTCAGATGTTCAGGCAGACTGAGTAGCCATTCAGGTGGGGGGATACACTCCCCTACTTGAGCCAGAGCAGCCCGCTTCCCTAACCAGGAAGCAGACTCTGATCATCTCAGGCTCCAGAGACTGGCACTTGGGGATAATCTTGTTAGAGCTATGCCCTGGGAAATTTGAGTATGGAGATGAGGTGCTTGAAGCTAGTGTACAGGCAGGGCTACCATTTGCAATGGGAAAAGATGGTATGCTCAGTTTTCGGACCAGTGGGCCTGATGGAGTCCTGCCCAGGTTGCACAGTGAAGAGGCTGCCTCGGAGAACTTGGCACAGAGGCAAACACCAGGGCTGGCTGCCACTCTCTCCTCACCCTCCTTCCCGAAAGGACTCACAGATGGGGCAGGGGTGAACACAATCCAGAAAAGAGGGCCCTGGGCCACTGTGGAAGCTTCCCATATGAACCACATCCTTATGGGCCAGGTTAGTAGCCAGGGCCTCTTCAAAGGCCTTGGTGAACCATAGAGACCCCACTGCTCCCACTGTAGACCCTACAGCCCAGTCTATCAGAGGAAAGGTCAGGGAACCCCGAGGGATGGATCAGTATGCTGGGCAAACGGCCCACAGCTAATAGGATAAATGTTAGCAGGATAAATGTGAGAATCTATAATTGGGTACAAATAAACAACCTCACTACTGGGGAAGGGGGAATGTTCAATGAAGAAAATAAACACCACGTGAGAAAAACACCCAGGAAGATCTGTTGGCCTTGGCGGTAGAGGTCAGGGGAGCCAACATGTGATGTGGCTGTCAAAACCAAGACTGGTGGGAGGACTGGACAGGGGGCAGTCTGTGTCCCAGAGTGACAGGTGTGGCCCTTCCATGTCCAGAACAGGGCAAAGGGAAGGTGACCAAAGGCTGGGGAAGTTTGGTCACAGGGTCGGGTGTGAGAAGATGGCTGCCCCTTTTTCTAATCAACGGTGTCCTGAACCAGGTGGTAGGGCCAGGGAAAAAGCTAACCCTAGTCAACCCTTGTAGGGCAGTCACGTCTTGGACTCCTCTCTCTTGCCCATGCCTGACTCTCTGCAGGCCACAGGGTCTCAGGAGGAGCTGAAGAGGGTGGTGCAGTGTTCTTATGTTTCTGTCTAGGGCTGTATTTCTGGTAAGTTACGTGAGGGTTGCGGCTTGCCTGACAGCCTCCTTCTTCCCTTCCCTATTTGCCACAGCCAAATAGAGTTTCCTTTTCCCATTTAAAGGAATGAAAACCTGAGTGAATTTAAAGACAAACATTAAAGGATAATAGAGAAGGTCCTCTGACAAAGTGTAAGTGTAAAGGGGAGGTCTCAAATAACCACAGTCTGGGGAACCCTGACCTTGTAGGTTAGATTTTCACTTCCAACCCAACCTGAGAAGGTCATCAGGGCACCTGCTGGATTCAGAAAAGGAGGCCAGTGGAGGAAGGCAGCAGGGCAGGGGGGCAAACCCCCCCCCACCCCGTGCCAGCTGCTGCAGAAGCCAGATCAGTGTATTTCCAGGAAGTGGACTAGAGTGCACAGCCACTCCATTGCCCCTGACCCAGTAACTGTACTTCTGGGAACATACTTCAAACAAATAACTCAAAGGGCAAAAGATGAGTCATGCAAACACTTGGAGTGGGGTTACTTATAATAGCACATATTTGAAAATAACAAGCAAATGATCACAGAAACCTGGAAGGGGTGACTGGGGGAGTGCCCCCTGCCCTGGCAATGCCACATCCAGCTGGGTGCCCAGCCCTAATCCAGAAGCAGCTGCCTAAAGACACAGTGAGTAGAGACAGGCACCCGCTGCAGCAGAGTTGGAGTCCAGACCACCTGTCACCAAGCCCCAAAGCCCTGACAGAGCTTCTCCTACCTCTAAGGTGAGACCAACCACAAGGCTTAGTTAGCACCAGGGTCGTGGCCTGATGCCTACTGACCAAACAGCCTCACTTGCCAGTGACATATTAGCTCCAGGCAGCTCCTAGAGCCCATGGTGCTGTGAGGACGGACTCTGGGCCACTGTATGGGCACTCCCTCTGCCCAGTAGCCTTTTACCACATGGAAAACCCAGATAGGAAGTGATCCACCCACTCTATATCCCCAAAGTCCCCAGGCCCCCAGCCCCAAGATGCTAGATGGTCATCCAAGGCCACCTCCAGGCACAGACTACACTCCCAGAGATGGCCAGACAACCCCAACAGGGAAGATTCCAAAAGCTTGCATGGGAGGCTGACTCTCACACAGCAGGCAGCAGAGCAAACACACCCCACTTTGGCCAAGGAGTTAACTCTTAAGGGCAGCCACTATCAGCCAGGGAATCCAGCACGGACAGCAGAGAACCTGGCCAAACTCCAACTTGGCATAGAAGGTGCTGTGAAGCCTGTGACCCCAAAACCAACTAAGTTGAGAGAGGAAGGACTACAATGATATGTAGAGAGTCTCCCCAGCTCGGGGCTAGGTGAAGGAGCTCCCCAGCTGGCCCAGGTTAGCTATGGCTGCCTCACCTGCATAGGCCATACTTGAGGCTCGTGAAGCCCTCTGTTCCTCTGGCTGGGAAAATCCTCCAGCAGGTTGGCCCAGACCTAAGCCATCAGTGTGCATGTGTTGAAGGAGGTGGTCTGACATCTCAGTCCCACATCCTGGCTGCAAGCTCCCCCAGATATATGTAGTCCCTAAGCGGTAAAGTCCACAGCTGACCTGGGTTCAAAATCCTGCTCTAACACTTATTCACTATGTCCTTGTCTCCCTGGGCCCCAGTTTCCAGAGCCATAAAAAGAGAGGCTAGATAATATCGACCTCACAGGGCTCTGGTGAGGATTTCAATGAATTCACGTTTGTAAAGAGCTTAGAAAAGTTCAAGCATTTGGGTAGTGTTCTTAAGAGTTCTAAGTGTGTGCTCGCTTTGGCAGCACATATACTAAAACTGGAACAATACAGAGATTATATGGCCCCATGCAAATTCGTAAATCATTACATATTTTTATGGTACCAGATAAAATTATAGATGGGACTGAAGCTTGTGTATCATCCATTATCATGTGTAATCAATAAACGATTTACCAGTAATAGCTTCTCGGGGGAAAAAAAAGTCCTACGAGTTAAGAAAAATAACTGTTGTTGTTAACCACCAGGCCTGGGTCCAACACACTTAGTCCTACACGCCCCCCCAGGAGCCCCTCCACGGAACCGGTTTCTCCCAACACACACCTCAACCCACATTATTCACCCCTCCTTTCCCGGGCCTCGCCCCCAAACGAGCACCTCCGACCAAGCCTGGCCACGCCCACTCCCTATGGAGCACCGCCCCCACCTGCCCAGCCCCCTTATTGAGCACGCCCACCGCGCCCTAGCCCCGCCCCCAAAGGGCCGTCCATATCCCCAAAGGAGCTTTCAACCCAGCCCTGCAAATGCTTGGGCGGTCTCGCCCCCTCCTGAGGCCCCGCCCCCAACGGCCTCTCCTACCGCCCCGGGCCCCACCCCCTCTGGGCTCGGGCCCTGTATGGGAGCATCTAAAGAATCTCAGGCCCCTGTGGCCCGCCGGGTCCGCACGGTCGCACACCCACGCCAAAGCTGAAAGACACCAGCTTGCCCAGACCTTCTCGACTGGTTGGCCACTAGGGCCTCTAGCCCCGGACTCTGGCCTCGGCCCAGGGGCCTGGACGCAACTTCAGCCCGCCTGTCCGCCGCATCGCCGCCATCCCCTCGCCCAATTATGCCCCACCGGCCGTACCTTTGAATAGGTAGTCGTACTCGTCGTCCCGGGTCCCCATTGTCCTGGCGCTTCCGGCGGGATCCGCGACTCCGCAGCCCCACCACAAACACCCGACGGGGGCGGGGCCGGCGCCGCGCAGGGGGGCGGGGCCGGCGCCGCGCAGAGCGGCGGCCGGAAAACCAGTCAGCGCCGGCTGGCGTAGCGACCGACACCCAGAGCAGCCAGTCAGAGGCAGAAGCAGAGCCTCCGGGGTGGGCGCCATCTGGGGTCCGCCTCCCTCGCCCTCGGACTCCTGGAGAAAGGCGGAAGGAATGCGGTCCTGTCTGAAGTGACGGCCACGCCAGCCTATCATAGACGAGCGCAGGAAGGCGGGGCGGAAGACTTGAAGAATTAAACGGATTGACGGATCGAATAGCCAATGAGAGGCTTCATTCAGACCGTGCTTGACCAACAGAAGATCAATCCGGGAAGGAAAATGGAGCTACGTCCAGGTGATGTTACGCTATAACGTCCTGACGACGTCATAGGTCAATACGTGCCCTCTGGGCCCACCTGTTCAGTCCCCATTAGCTGTTTCCTAGGGTCTTTGCGTGAGGTCTTTTACACCTAGAGGCCAATTCTCTCTCAGTTGCAGTTTTCATCCTTACTTTAACTACTCATTACGTTAATCCTCTGCCTCAGTTTCCTAGCTCTGTACAGCAGGAAAGAAACTTACCTGGATGGAGTCAACCATCTACTTTCTGTCATTAAGTCTTTAACAGATACTTATAAATCCTTTCCAGGCGACAGACTACAACATAATCTCTCTCTTTCCCTTACCTTGTTTTATTACACACACACACACCACTCTGCGATTTACTATATCTAACTTCAATTATTTCTTTTTAAATATATTTTATTGATGATGCTATTACAATTGTCCCATCCCCCCCCTTATTGCCCTCCACCCTGCACACCCTCTCTCACCCACATTCCCCCCCTTTAGTTCATGTCCATGGGTCATAAGTTCTTTAGCTTCTACATTTCCCATACTATTCTTGCCCTCCCTTGTCTATTTTTTACCTACCATCTATGCTACTTATTTTCTGTACCTTTTCCCCCCTCTCTTCTCCTCCCACTCCCCTGTTGTTAACCCTCCATGTGATCTCCATTTCTGTGGTTCTGTTTCTGTTCTAATTGTTTGCTTAGTTTGCTTTTGTTTTTGTTTTAGGCATGGTTGTTAATAATTGTGAGTTTGCTGTCCTTTTACTATACATGTTTTTTATCTTCTTTTTCTTAAAGTCCCTTTAACATTTCATAAAATAAGGGCTTGGTGATGATGCACTCCTTTAACTTGACCTTATCTGAGAAGCACTTTATCTGCCCTTCCATTCTAAATAAAAGCTTTGCTGGATAGAGTAATCTGGGATGTAGGTCCTTGCCTTTCATGACTTGGAATACTTCTTTCCAGCCTCTTCTTGCCTATAAGGTCTCTTTTGAGAAATCAGCTGACAATCTGATGGGAATTCCTTTATAGGCTACTGTCTCCTTATCTCTTGCTGCTTCTAGGATTCTCTCCTTCATTTTTACCTTGGCTAATGTAATTATGATGTGCCTTGGTGTGTTCCTCCTTGGGTCCAAGTTCTTTGGGACTCTCTGAGCTTCCTGGACTTCCTGGAAGTCTATTTCCTTTGCCAGATTGGGGAAGTTCTCTTTCATTATTTGTTCAAATAAGTTTTCAATTTGTTGCTCTTCCTCTTCTCCTGGTACCCCTATAATTCAGATGTTGGAACGTTTAAAGATGTCCTGGAGGTTCCTAAGCCTCTCCTCATTTTTTGGAATTCTTGTTTCTTCAATCTTTTCTGTTTGGTTGTTTCTTTCTTCCTTCTGGTCCATTCCATTGATTTGAGTCCCAGTTTTTTTTTTCCCTATTGTTTCCCTGTGCATTTTCCTTTATTTCACTTAGCATAACCTTCATTTTTTCATCTAATTTGTGACCAAATTCAACCAATTCTGTGAGCATCCTGATCACCAGTGCTTTGAACTGTGCATTTGATAGGTTGGCTATCTTTTCATCACTTAGTTGTATTTTTTCTGGAACTTTGATCTGTTCTTCCGTTTGGGCCATTGTTTTTTTGTTTTTGATTTTGTTTTTGGTCTTGTCATGCCTGCTATGTGTGAGGGGTGGAGCCTTAGGTGTTCACCAGGGTGGGGCAACCCAGTCCCTGGGTTGTGATGCTGTATGTAGGGGTGGCGTCAGAAAGGGAACAATGGTGCTTGCTCTGCTCTCTGTTGGGTTTCATTCCCTTCTGCTTCCCCCAAGCAAACTGGGCCCTTCCGGTGCTGATTCCCGTGTTGGTGGGCTTGTGTACATTCTAGGGCCCTGTGGGTCTCCCCAGCAAACTCTCCTGTGAGGCTGGGAGTTTCTCCCAGCACCTCAACCACCACAGGTGTTTTCAATCGGTGTTTTGAGGTTTTATTTCCCAGTGGTGGACCCTAGGTTGTGTGGTCTGTTTCGCTCCCCAGTTTTGCCTAGTTTATCTGTGTGTGAGTGTGGGACTGCCCAGTCAGCCAGCCGCCTTCATGCAGTGCCTCGCTTCACAATTGCTGCCTCGCCGGGTCTGCCCAGTGCCACCGCTTTTTGTGACGCGACCCCTCTCCGCCTGGCCGCCTACCTACTAGTCTGGATGAATGTGTCTATTTTAACTCCTTGGTTGTCAGGCTTCCATACCGTTCAATTTTCTATCAGTTCTGGTTGTTATTTTGTTTCTAAATTGTTGTCCTTATTTTGGTTGTGCAAGCTGGCACGGTGTGTCTTGGCCGGAAGTCCCTCTGTATTTCTTTCTTGATCCATTAACCTGTTTAGTTTCTGTCCCAAGTCAACAGAATTATCAGCCCCATGAAGGTAGAGACTGTCTGTGGTAATCACTGTTGTGTTCCCAGTGCTAGGTAAATATTGATATGTGATGGATAATGTAAACACAGAATTCATGTGCTAGTTATACCTATAATTATTTTTATATAACTATAATAATTATTATTGCTTACTGGACCTCATCCCTGCGATGTGCATCAGGCATCCTAGACACAACTTTGGCTTCTTTCCTCCTCTTCCTGTGTCTCCTTTTCCCCACCCCAACCCCATCATCAAAGGCAGAGGTCATGTAGTTTTCTCTCCTTCTCATCCTTTACTCCCCTGCCCCAGCCTCCCTTCCTTTCAATTACCTTTTTATGTCATTCCTTCCTCCTAAATTCTGACCACTTCTCCTTCATTACCACCACCCTGATTCTTGCCCCATCATCACTCCCTGGACCTTCCTGATCTCCCTGCTCTGCCCACACATGCACATGCTGTTCTCCCCAAAGCAGTCAGAGGAAGTCTTTTAAAACATGAGTCAGATCTTCTCACTCCCCTGTTTAAAAATCTTTCAGTCCTTCCATTAATAAGCATTTACTAAGCATCTACTAAGTACCAGGCAGCACTCTGGGTGCTAGGGGTACACCATTGAATAAGGCAAAGTCCCAATCCTCATGAAGCTACAGTTTAGTGGGGGCCAACAAAGAAGAAGCAAGTAAACAACACACACAAGATAGTTTTAGAAAGGGAAGCATGCAATGAGGGGAATAGCCTGGGTTATGTAATGGTGGAGCTCCTTAGCTAGGGAGGCAGAGAGGCATTATGAGGAAGGTGGCATTTGCACTGAGTCCTCAGGTTGCAGAGGAGATGGTGGGAATGTTTCAGGCATATGCAAGAGCAAGTGAGGGAGAGCCTGATGAGTCTGAACAGCCAGGAGGCCATGGTGGCTGGAGAGAGGGTTCCAGGGACCAGAGATGAGATTAGGTGGAAAGGCAAGGCTGGAAGCCAGACCAGCACGAACCCTCCTACCTTTGTCAGCTAGCTCCTGGGCAGCTAGCTGGCTTGGAACCCTGAACATCCAAGCCAAACCACTTTTTTACCCTACCCCAGTTCACCAACCAGTTCCTGCTCCATGCAGCACCCTAGTACCCACCCAGGCCACTAGGCTTTTGCTCTCACAGTGCTCTCTTGCTGGAATGCCATCCCCCACCATCTTTGTAGACTTTTTATCCTTTAAAGACTGATTCAAAAGCTATGTTCATCTCATGAAGCCTTTTCTCCTGTCCAGGTCATGCTCCCCTCCCTGCCCCAATCCCCAGCATGACATAGTAATAATAGTATTAGTAAGGATGGGTAATATTTGTATTGGGTCCTCACTGTGAGCCAGACACTCACTTTTCTGAGTGCTTTTCACCCAATGTTACATGAAATCCTGAAATCCTCACAGCATCAGGAGAACAGGGAGGGGTGGGAGAGGTGGGAGGGTACATACCAGAACCATCTTCATTTTCCAGATGCAAGAACTGAGGCCACAGAGCTTTAGGGCCTATCCCCAGTCACCCAGGAAATGGATGTGGTTAAGCACTCCAGCTTGGGAATTGCACAGGTCTGGATTCACATCCTGGCTCTTGTTTGGTTCCCAGCCATGGTGGTTATTTTTTGTGGTTTTCTGGGGGTGAAGGGGCAGAAAATGCTGTGTTGGAGGAGGTCATAATTACAGAAGAAGTGACATAGTTGGGGAGGTGAGCCCTCTTGGAAGAGCTTGGGAATTAAGAAAACAGAGCTGGGCCAACCCTCCCTCTACCTCCATGGGTGAGACTTTCTACCAGTTCCAACCACAGTGGTCTCAAAAGAGATTCTCCACGCGTGCCTGGTACAACACACCCCCAAACAAGGAGCCTGGAGGAGGTCTGGCCTATGTTGCTGAGGGCTTCATGATCCATACTCAGTCACAGCCCCAGGGAAGCTACTGTGTCCCCAGCATGTTCCAGGAAGAGGCAGCTGGGACTCAGGGCACAGGCAGGTGTTTTTCTCAAACAGGTGTCCTGGGCACAAGAGATCACATTAGTTCATATGATCTCTGTGATAACTTTAGGTGTTGCATTAAATAACATTGAACCACATACTGAGAAAGTCCTACCTTTTTTCAATTTTTTTAATACTAATTTTAAAGAGAGGGGAAGGGAGGGAGAGTGAAATATCAATGTGTGGTTGCCTCCAAGTACCCCCTACTGGGGACCTGGCCAGCAACCCAGGTATGTGCCCTGACTGGGTATCAAACCAGTGATCCATTGGTTTGCAGGCTAGCACTCAGTCCACTGAG